GCCGGCCAGTCGGTATTTTTCAGATTTTGCCCCGCAACGAAAAAATTCAAGTCGGTCTGTGGGGGTTCAGTTATTCAGGCGAAATTGGCTGCTGATTATTTAGATCGAATATCGACTATTTATACTTATTCCGATCATCCGTTGTGACAATTTCGACACTACTGTGATAATTGTTGATCGATCAGAATCAGCACTTGTTAACGTATTTTACCTGAAAATAGCCAACCACTGTCCGACGTCCAAAAAGGGATCTGAAAGACACTAGCGCAACAGATAAGACAGTAGCGAACCACAAAAATGAATGTAGAAATCTACTTCGACTACTAATCTCCTATAGATGGTGCTAGAATATTTCAGATCCCCTTTTGGACGTTAAAATAGAGTTAACACTAAGCAATAAAAATCATAAAAAAACTGCTTATTTATTATATCTAGGTAATGTTGGACCAGCGAAAGATTGCAAGCCGAAAGAATGCGGACAAAAAATTGCGAAGTTGTCAGATGTTCTACATAAAATGCGGTCCATACATATTAACATATTTAAGATATAGAATTGTTCCGCTGAATTTGGCAATGTAGCTGGAAAACCCAGGCCGCAGGTAAACATCCGGTCGCTGATTGGTCCAAAACTCTTATCTTATCTGAAACTAGAATAACGTGCCGATGGCACGGTCATTTATAAACCTACTCCCATAGGCGTAGGCAGTTGGCAAATACTTTGAAAATATAATTTACTGTTTAGTGGTGATAATGGAATTCAAGCATGGGAAAGTTATTCACAGCCAGGCAAGGGAAATAATAGCAAACGTGATACGTGCTTGCGATGCAGAAGCGGCTAACAATACTTTCGTTTATCCACTGGTAGCTAGAAATGCAAGGGCGGCATATTATACGGGTGTTAGTGAACGAACTATAAGTAAAATTAGAAAAGAAGATAAAGACAGGCAAAATGCAACCTCCACACAGCCTTTAGCTTCTCCCGGAAAAAAGAGATCACGCCCTTCTGTGATCCAAAAAATTGATGGAGTCGATTTTTCCATTATTCGGAGAATGATAGAAAAATTTTACTGTGATTTTAAAGTGGTACCTACTTGTAGTAAACTTCTAATCAAACTGAAGGAAGAAATGGAATTTCCATTTGGTAAAGAATCGTTGAGGCTGCTTTTAAAAGCAAAAGGATTTTACTGGCGTAAATGCCACAACAAAAGGAAATTACTAATGGAAAGACCCAGTATTTTACATTGGCGATACAAGTATCTTAGGTCTATTAAAAAGTTCCGGGAAGAAGGAAGGCATATTATTTATTTGGACGAAACTTGGGTTGATAATGACCTCACTTTCAAGAAATGCTGGCAAAGCGAAGAAATTATGGGTGTCCTGAGCAATATAAGTTCTACAGGTAATAAAGTTTCTTTCACCTCGATTTTGCTTATTATACATTTTTCTCAATTTTGGAATATTCTTAATAAGTGCTCATTTAATTTGTCTAATTGAATACATAATCCCTTGCAAGTATTTTTTTCTCAAAAATATGTTTTTTATACATAGTGATTCAAAAAGGTGTTGGCAAACTTAAAATAACACTAAAATGAGGCTATTTATTCATTTCCAGGACGACTTATAATTGTTCATGCGGGTTCGCAAGATGGTTTTGTTCCTGGAGCCTGTCTCATTTTCAAGGCTGGCTGTGCCACTGGTGATTATCACGGTCAAATGAACCAAGAAAATTTCACGAAGTGGCTTACTGAAAAACTATTTCCTAACATTCCTCCTAATAGTATTATAATAATGGATAATGCACCTTACCATTCAGCTTTGGAAGACAAGCCTCCAACTAGATCTTCTCTAAAAAGAGACATCATCACGTGGTTGAGCAAAAAAGGTATAGAGCATGATCCTAATGCTAAAAAAATGGAGCTTTATGAAATAGCTTGTCTACATAGGCCACCATCTGATGAGAAAAATTATAAGATAGATAATTTAATAAGAAGTTTCGGACACACCCCACTTCGAACGCCACCCTATATGTGTCAGTTTAATCCCATAGAGATGATTTGGGCACAAGTAAAATTTTTCATTAGAAGCCATAATACAAGCGGCGAATTTACTATAAAAAAACTAGATGAAATTTCTAATAAGGCCATCGCTTCAGTAAGTGCCAGTGACTGGCAAAAGGTTATTGGACATGTTATAAAAATTGAAGATGAATATTGGGAAAAAGACAGTCTCATTCAAGAAATACAGGAAGAAATAATAATCAACATAGGAGGTGAAAGTGATAGCAATGACAGTTCCTCAGACAGTGATCATGACTCTAATCAGGATTGAAACTATACTAGATTGGCTACCTTTTAGAATTTTTAGATATTCATTTATTATACTATTGGTTTGTGGCTTTTAGTATCTCAGTAGAAAGTCTAATTCTATGTGTTGTTTATGGGTTATTTCATCAAGAAATTACTTTTTGTTTTCCTATATTTTTCTATTCAGTCAGATATTTTTGACTTGTTGTATTCTATTTTAGAAGAATGCATAATTTGTTTTGCTGTTCAATCATAATGCGTACATAGGAATATTACTTGTTGCCTAAAAAATATATTTATTTTGTTCTCAATATTCAGTGTTTGTGTATATTTATTTCTTATAATGTATGTTTGGTATCACGTCATTATGAATCGCAAAAAAATATTAATACTACCAGTTGTAATAAAATATAAATTCAATTAATAATTCAAGTCTCTCCGATCTCCGCCTATGACTCCATATAAAATCGTCTAATGGTAAGGTTTTTTCATCGCATTTCCCCCTTTCGTCCCTAGCAATCTTTGGCTGGTCGATCTATACTTATCGTATTTATTTTATACTTTTACAGTATTCTATAGCCATATACACTGAAAACGCAAATACCACTGACGTCGTAATGTGGGCGATAGAGAAACGCGAAAAGCGTGCACTACCTGTATTAAAAGAGATAGAAGCACCTCGTTGCCTAGCAACCCGAGTACGAGAGCACGGATGCCACCGGCGCACTCTTTCTTACACATATTGCACGCTTCTCTCTCGTACACATTAAGTCAGCTAAATTTGAACATCACCGTATATGTATTTAATACCATTTATCCGCTGTTTCTACAAATTAAAATATCCTCTAAAGTCTGCGCCTGTAATTTGTATTGCAAGTCCAAGCTAAGCTGCACATCCAACTGCAAGTAACACCTTTCCTCTTCCCATTGTGTCGAGGCTTCCCGCTTTTTCACTTCACCAAACACGTGTACGTACGTTCCATCTTCCGGTACTTCATTCAATCCATTGTCCAGGATCTCCAGTTCTAAGTACTTCGTTTCATCAGTAATGGGTTGGAGTACCATGACGTAATCTTCAGAGTATTTCCAAAGGGCTGTTAAATGTTCTCTTTGGTATTTCACTCGCCCAATGGTTTGTAAGGTTTCATTGATGGCAAAATCCAAACTGTCTTTGTTAACTAGATCGGTCAGTTTGTAGAATTTGTAGTCATGGGCCCCAATTATTTTAGATGATGTATTTAACGCCATAATGTTCACTGATCGTCATCCTACGAATTGCTACAATCTACATGTCAAGAAAAATGGCGGGAAAGCAGCAGAAATAAGGTTATAAGTGAATTCGGTATCGTTTAACTGTGTAACAATTGAAATTTAAAAAAAAGTAATGTGATTCTATTCACAAATTCTTCAACCACAATCTTCCTAAGATACTTGCCAAGTTTACAAGATTCGAAATTCAACAGCCCAACGACGATCTATCAAAAAAATGCTGGAAATGAATCTTGAGCGGTTGAGCATGACGCAGAACGTCGCGTTGGAGTTCGAGCGGTAGCGGCGCAACGTGGTTGCCAGATTTATCATTTTTTCTGCAAATTTACATACACTTACACGGTACACCATTGACTTTAGAGATTATATTTTTTATTTTTCAGGCATGGGGTATTTTTCACTCTGGAAAAAAGTGCATTTTTATAGCTGAATTGAATTGGTTGCATCCTTTTTGCAAGGACGATGCAATTCACCCTCTTATTTCGCTTGAGTGTGGGGTAAAGCGTACTTGAACTTCGTAAATGCAAAGTAAATCATTATTTAACTGTTATGCTTTTCCGGTTAGAGAAATAAAATTTTATTTTCAATGATAACGAATATCGATAAAACTTGACCATACATACACTGCATGTCACATGTCACTTAATGTCCAGCATGTTATTTGTTATTTTACGTAAACTTTTACTTTTTAAGGCTTGGGAACCCTCAAGTATCAGGAGTAAGACAATGCTTTCTAAATTTTTGGCAAAAAGGGGACTTATTCAACCTTGGAAAGCGACGCACGATGCTAACGGTTGGAACTATCCATCGTTTATGTGTTGGGGGTGCAATAATGAATGCTGCTGACAACTGTCTAAACCTGTATATTTGAATGAATATCTGTTTATCAGTCAGTCAAAAAATATTGCCAACATGAATAACAATTATCGCATTCATAACGCTTGAAATGTTGCGAACAGTTTTATAGAAAACGTTATAAAGAGCATGAATATGTAAATCAGAAAATGCCCATCACTTGCGTGATTTTATTTTTGCAATTAATATTCCATTAGTATAGAACATTAAAAATGGTTCCGTTTTATTTATACCGGTCTATTAAAAAAATATGAGGAATTCAAGCCATATTTTGTGTATTTGTCAGTCTGTATGATATTATAGCTCCGACTGAACATTATATATTTTCATTCGAAGTCGGTAGCTTTGATGTTTTCTGAGTATGAGTCTATCATCATTATCAGTTTCATCAGCTTGAGAGAATACTGCTTATAATGTGTATTATGAACTGTATGACTATAATATGGGAAAAGTTCAGTTGCTGCGGTTGCAGAAAAAACTAAATATCAAAGAAGGACTTTTCACTCTTGATACATAATTAACAATATACAGACATTTGCGTCCACGGCTTGGCAACATAGCAACACTGTCCGTCACAGATTTGATTTGATTGTCTTTCCAGACCGTGGGAAAAAATATGACATATTTTTATGATGTCGATGAGGTAAACAATGGGTGTTCACGGACTTTGGAGATTGATAGAGCCCTCAGGCAAGCCGGTTCCACTTGAGACGCTCGAAAATAAAGTTCTGGCTGTTGGTATCCTTTAACTAGCGGAATTACACGTGAGATTTGAATCGAATGTTTATTTTAACCTAGAGGTTCTACTTTTTACCATCATAATAAAATGCTATTTTTCTTAACTCTTTCGCTCAGATATCTCGATTTGGCTGCACCAAGCTATTAAAGGGTTTAAAGATGGCAGGGGCTCATCAGTTCCCAATGCTCATTTATTGGGTATATACCACAGAGTCTGCAAATTGCTTTACTTCAAAATAAAGCCTGTTTTCGTTTTTGATGGAGGTGTACCAGCACTCAAAAAACAAACAATCGTAAGTCAACACTATTTCAATATGTCATTGATCATCAAAGCAAATTGAGTCTTGTTGCAGGCCAAACGAAATCAACTCAAGTCTCGCAATGCTACAGAAGCTGAGAGAATAAGAAGACACTTGTTAAATGTCATCCTTAAGCATTCAGCTGTAAGCAAGGTACTCTCAGAAAAAACAAAAGCATCCCTGGTCTCTGAAGCAAAAAAGCCTAGTCGGGATGACATGTTCATTTTGCCTACCCCAGATCCTGATGCTCCAATATCATCTTCTGAGGAAGAAGAAGAAGTTTCTATATCTGAAACTGACTCTAGTCCAACTAAGCAGTGGGATCTACATACCATTGATCCACGATCTAAAGAATTCAATGCTCTTCCTATTGAAATGAAGCATGAGATACTCACTGAACTTATAGCAACCCGAAAACAGAGCTCTTGGGGTCGATTACATGAGCTACCAAAGCAAAGTGATGATTTTTCTTTGTACCAAATGAAAAGGCTTTTAAAAAGACAATCTGTTCAGTCAGCATTGGATGACATTTCCAAAGAAATGGGAGGAAACTCATTGTCACTAGCAGAGCTTGAGGAGTTGTTGCAAGATCAAGGTGTTTTAAAGAAAAATGATTCTGTTGGTAAAAGAATTGCTTCAGATGAAACTACAAGGTTTTTGTATATCAGGGATATAAAAGAAGCTTTGGATAAGGCCAAGCAACAAGAAGCAGGGAAGAATATTGAAGAAAAACAAAAAAGCAAAGCAGATATAGAAGAAGAAAAGGATTGGCAAAAAGCAATAAGCTTATCTCTACAAGAAGAGCCTTCTACATCTTCTGACAGAAGAGTTTTCTTCTCAGAAGATTACTTAGAAGATATATTTGAGTCTGATTTGAGTGAGAATGAAGAAGTTCTTGTTGAAACTAAACTGACATCAGCTGAGAGTTATATGATGGAGTATAGTGGCCTTAGTAGGCATGAGGTGCAAAGGATAATAAGCAGAGAAAGTAAAGTGGAAGGTAAAAGGTGTTTAAGAGGAAGAGGAAAGATCCAAGATAATCGGGAAGGAAATGACAAAGGATTGATTAGAAAACAAATAATACAGAATGAAACTGTGAATAGTACAAAGTCTGAAACTCAAGTAAGATCTATTGCCATAGAAGAAGAAGATGAGGAGCTAAAGAAAGCTATTGCCTTATCACTTCAATACAATATAGATGATATTGATATGAAAAATGGAGAAATTAAAGAAGTGAAATCAGTAAGCCAACAAGAACAAATGAAAATAGCAGAAGATACAATGGTGGTAAAAAAAGCTGAAGCTAAAGAGTCTTTTTCCAGAACAGGTACAAAAACTAGTTCAACTAGAGAAGAAGTAGCATCCAAGAAGGGCGATTTAGAACCAAATCTTTCAAAAAATATTGGCACTAAAGTCCAAGACACTGTGAAATTAGATAGAAGTTCCAGTGATGGCTTCAATATTGTAAAGGAAGATTTAATAGCTAAAGAGTCTATTAATAAACAAGATGCAGAGACAAAATCTGGAAGTGAAGATTCAGATGCAGATGATTTTTTGGATGTAACTGAAGTTAGACAGGATTGTATTGAAGTACAGATTGATACTAGACAACCCCCAGAGGAAGACCTTTTTAGAGACATCTTTTCCAAAGATACAAAAGATATAAAACCATTGGAAATATTGATCAATCCCACTGAAAACCCAGAAGATGATTTGTTTAAAGATGTATTCCAGACTTCTAAAGATAAAGAACAAAAAACTGAAAAAAAATTGCAGAAAAATGATAATAGTTTGTCAAAGAAACTGAAGCAACTTATAGTAGATGATGCTGAAAAATCAGAAGAATCAAAGTCTAGCAAGGCTAGTGAAGACCAGAGAGAAAGTACCCCAAAAACAATTGAACCAAATTTGTCTATTCAAGACTTACAGGAGATGAGAGATAATTTAGAACAGCAAAAAGAGGATCTTCAAATTGAACAGTCGACAAAGGAAAGACAGGCAATCAATATCTCAGAGCAAATGTACCAAGAGGCTCAAGAACTATTGGAGCTATTTGGAGTACCATTCATTATAGCTCCAATGGAAGCTGAAGCCCAGTGTGCTTTTCTAGATGCTATTGACCTCACAGATGGTACTATTACTGATGATAGTGATATCTGGTTATTTGGTGGGAAGACTGTCTACAAGAACTTCTTTAACCAGAGCAAATATGTCATGGAATTTAAAGCTGAAAATATCAAACATCATTTCAAGTTGACTAGAGAACAAATGATTCTTTTGGCATTATTGGTTGGTAGTGACTATACTATTGGTGTCTCAGGTGTTGGACCTGTCACAGCTTTGGAGATATTGTCAACCTTTCCACCAACCTCTCAGTCAAAAGAGTTCACTTTGACACACAGTCAGTTGCTATCAGGTTTGAAGGAGTTCAAGTCCTGGTTTTGTAAGGGAAGAAGTGCTGGACCTGGAAGGTCGAGCTTGAAAAACAAATTGAAGAATATAAATTTTACAGAGAACTTTCCTAGTCCTCAAGTGGTCCAAGCTTATCTTGAGCCAGCAGTAGAGACGAGTAAGGAAGAGTTTTCTTGGTCTAAACCAGACTTTATTGGTCTTACGTTGTATGCTAAAGAAAAGCTTTGTTGGAGCTCCAAAAAGACTGAGGAAATTCTTAATCCTGTAATCAAAAGAATGGAAGAGGTTCATACCCAGAAGACTATTAAGGATTACTTCAAGACTAAGTTTAAGGCGCCCTCAGATGAGGCAAGACAAAAAATGAGCAAGAGAGTAAAAAGTGCGGTAGAAAGATTTGGAAAAACGCCAGAAGAATTACTGGCTGAAGAGATGGAACTTCTTGAGAAGGAAAAAGAAAAGGCTTTAAAGAAGAAATCTACTAGTCTTGGAGAAAGTGAACCAAAAAGGAAGAAAATGAAAAAGAAAAAAGATGAAGAACAAGTTGATAATGAAAAAGTAGTAGCAAATGAGGCAACAGTTGAAGATGAAGACAAAACAAAGAAATGTGCAAAAGGAAGAAAGAGGCAAGAAAATGCAGTTGGTCAAAAATCTAAGACAACTAGGAAGAAAAGTGGAAAATCTGGACAGGAGACGGCTGAACCTGATAGCACAGTATTTGAGAAAAATGAAGACAATCAGAAAGATTCAGGATCTTCAACAAATCAAGAAGAATCTGCCCTCGAACTAACTGAAGAAGAAGAGATCAAACATCTTGAGAATCTGGCAGCTGAAATAAGACAAAGACGAAAGCGAAAAAACGAGTCAGGCAGCAAAAAAATTGACTCTAGATGGAAGAAAAAACAGCCTATCAAGATTTTGGAAGATATTCCCGAAAACATGATGGAAGATCCAGGAGTTCAGGATTTGATAGCAACTGCATCAGCATCTGCAAAAAGAGTTGAACAGATTGACAAGGAAATTGAAAAGCAAGTTCAGAAATTGGAAGCTCAACAACAGTCTAGAACTGAGCCAGTAACTTGTACTGATCAGAAAGCAAAGGAATCTTCAAGTAGAATAAGTGAAGCAGCATCTTCTAGTAGAATGAGAGGATTGCATACTAAAGAAATCATTCACCAGAGGTTGAAAGAAAACAAAGATTTACTGAAGAACAAGATGAAAGCTATTGAAGTATTTAGAAAAACGAAGTTAGGGAATGTCAAGAAGAATCCAAGAAGAAAGATGTTACCAAAAGAAGAGGCAGAGTTGTCAGAGGATAGTGATTAAAGTACTTTTTTTATCTTTTCAGTATTATTTATTTGTGAATATTTTTGTTTTTGTAAAGATTATATTATTTATTTTTCTAATGGACTTTCATTAGCACGAGAGTTGAACACAAAACATTTTGAAGGAATATCAATGTTTTGCCTCCAAATAGTGTTCTTTCTGTGAAGAGAGGAGGCAAAACCATGCCCTCCACGATTCAGGTCTATTTCTGGTATCAAAAACAGGGAGCTTCCATTTAAAAAACTGACTTGGCGTTCAAATGATCTTGAAGGTGTTGGTCAAGATCACCAATGGTTGATCTACAACATTTTTGTCGAGGGAGCGTATTTTTTCAGATATTTTGATCTATGCATACTTTTTGAATACCCTGTATAGTTTTGCAGAACAAAACATTTTCATAACCTCCTCGGGTTTCGATTTAGTAAGTGTATAAATTATTACGTGTCTCCGTATTGTGCTTCAGACGTGATGCTAACAGACTGTCTCAAATTCAATATATATATATATATATATATATATATAATATATATATATCTTGAGACGTGGTCATTGTCGTCTAGACCAGTTAGGTGAAAAATTAAAGCTTCCGCCTTTTGTTGAAAATTTAAGCAAAGAGGACTCTTTATACTTTTTTTAATTCTCTCTAGCTTTCAATGGACTTTGCCATCATCATCAGGAGAGTAGTATGTGAGGATGTTGCTAATTGTTGTTTACGTATAGGATGAGGGAAACGTCCAGTAAAATGGTGAGAGCTGGATACATGGCACAATGGTCAAAATTATATAAAATATGACAAGACAAGTTAAAAACAGATTAAAAATTATTTAAAAAACATTGAATGTCGCTCGACGAACTAATGATTGTGGAAAACCTTTTTCTTCTTATTTCACTTGCAGCCTGATGGATTCTTTGAAGTAAATCTTCTTGAGTATTTACTTCAGTCGAGTATACTAGGTCTTTTAATAACCCCCAAAAATAGAAATCCAATGGATTTAGGTCAGGTGAACGTGGCGGCCACGCTATAGGACCTCATCGGCTTAACCACCTGTCTGGAAAATTGACATTCAACCAATTTCGAACATGGCATCCAAAATGTGCAGGGGCGCCATCATGTTGAAAAAACATTCCTTGTAAATATTGACTCGTCCGACCATAATATTCTAGGAAATAGTGTTTTCATTTGCTAATATCCACTGGCAAAACTCGATTCGAGGTAAAAAATCTTCCTCCGTTACATGCTGCATCCGTTTAAAATGATAAGGATGTAATCCTTGCATTCTTGTCATTCTTCCTATCTAAAATTATTATTTTTAGGATAACTATCCAATAGGTATTCATAAATTTTTCTTACTATTGATCGAGGTATATCCATAATTTCTGAAACATTCCGTATGCTTATTTGCGGATTATTTTCAAACATATTTAAAGTAATATCCAAACGATGATTTCCCAGTGGCCTTCCTGAGCCCTGCATGCGCTGAAAACTTCCATGGTTCGACAAATTCCGGTGAATATCAGTAAACATTCGACGTCCAGGTACTATGCGATTAGGAAATCTTCATTGATATTATCTTACGGCTGCCAATGAACTGCCATTGCAAAACCCGTACACAAAATGCATGTCAGTCAGTTCTCTGTCTGTAAATCGTGGCATTTTAAATCGATTTAATAAAAAGTTTGGTTTTAATCTAGTAATTTTACTGCGCTAACAATGTCAGCTTAACGTCAAAATAAGTCACAACAAATCAATACAACTTTTGTTGGCAGTCATGGCTAACTATGTATAATCAACAATTCATTTAAATTCGCAGTACATTTCCTATCATGTGACAAATTTTTTAGTTTGATTTTATTCAAAAATGGCACAATTTATCGATATTCAATAAGAATACCTTTTTTATGTAGAAAACCCTAAATTTTCAAATTCTAAAATTGAATTTCAAAAATAGAATCACACAAAAATTTTGGGGCTAAAATAACCTGAGTCCGTCCCTGTTACATACGCTTGCAAACAAAACTGTCTAAAATTGTTAATATTTTTAAATCCAGCATAAAAAACTAGGCTAGAATACCAAATTTTATGTCTTTATCTCAATCGGAAAAACCATATTCAGGGGAGCCCCTTTAAAAGACCGTAGCGTAGGGGACGTTTGCCGACCAATGTTTATATCAACTTTTCTTCCTATGTTAAGCTCTAAAAACCGCTGGTAGAATATTGCACACTTTTTTCGGGACACCCTGTATATATATATATATATATATATATATATATATATATATATATATATATATATATATATATATGTGTGTCCTGAAATTTGGGACTTGCCTTTTCATAGTCAACTACATTTGCAATACCAAAGCTAAAAAACAATGCCCAAAACGTTAAAAAGAAATTGCAGAAAAATACTCTTCATTCATTTGAAAAGGAACTCCGTACACCCTATTTCACGAGTATCCATCACGCTTTGACGTCTACTGAGGTGAACAGCTGATCAGCAAGTGACATTTTTGTGTTAGTCTGCGACGTTGGCAATAATGAATCGGGTGTAAATCTAGTAAAACTTGTTTGTAGCGTTTTGTTTGTTGTATGCAAGTAAACTTTTCTAAATAAAATTTATAATAATTTACTAGATAACGAGCTGCTATTCACCGTAATGGATACTCGTGAAATATGGTATACTACGCTGTCACATGTTTTGTTTGTAAACACTGCTTGAAGTTGTCGCTGTTCGATTCAAAAACACGAGTTTGTTTACCTCTTCCTAAATTTGCAAAATTTAGGGTTATCTAGGCCTTCAAATGTATTCAATCAGACGGCTTTTGCACGTTATGAACAAACATATGCACCTCTGATGGAAGGAAACATCGAGGACGACGGCGACGTTCTGAGTACACTTGCGGAGTATCAATAATAGGATCTTAAAGATGCTTATATCAAATTGATAACTACGTTATTTTGAGAATATGCCAATTTCTGATTTTGGAATGAGGTTTGTTTATAAACTTGGTTAACCTTCACACCACGCGATGCTTGATTTGTATACTCGTTCCCATAGTTTTATTCATACTAGGAGGAGATTACGGGAGGGTCTTACTGACTCATTTATTGCTCTTTGGAACCTAATATCTCAGTTATCTTAAAACTTTGGTTATGTCACTAAAAAACATGATTATTACCTGGCCTATACGCTCTGTAAAGTCGCAACATTGGGGACATCTTGATATATTAGACAAAATCCGCGGTTCCCTCTCACATGCAAGTACTGATTTGTTTTGCACGAGTGTGGTGGAGTTTGGTTTTGGCAACAGAATCACAATTTTCAAAGTATTGTAATGGTTACTTTGGCAATGGACATTTTTTATTCAATTTTAATGAAACAATAATTTCAATGTATCGCTTTTTTATATTCTCGACAACAAGTAAGGTGTTTACTTGTAAATGTATCGGATCTTAAAATGATCTTGGAGGTCATGGACAAGTTCATTAGCAAAGACATACTTGAGCTCAAAATTGTCCTTAATTTCCATGTCAGAAAGTAAAAATAGATGTTTACCGTTAAAAATTCATTTGATTTTCAAATTACCTTGATGGTCATAGACATACAGTTTTTTGCTCTTTTTATTTCCGGTGTCAAATTTAGGGGTTTTCATTTAAGAAAACTTGCTTGACCTTCAAATGAGTCTGGAGGTTATGACCAAACTCACGTTCAAGGTCACCATTAGATTAATCTTTTCAAATCAAACTTTATTGCACATTTTTCTTCATGTAACTACAGGGTGCGGCAGAGAGGACGGACGTTTTTGGGATGGGTAGTACTCTCCGCCTCCGTCTACGAGAGAGGTGGGGAGGGTGCCGTTTGACTCGTGAGATCCTAGCATTATTTTACCAGTTGTCGTTATGGAGCCTTGGACGGTGGAGCACCACTTTCACCTAAACAGCATGGTTAACCAGCAGAATTGTCGTTATGGGCTAATGAAAATCCGCAACAGTTACACGAAAAACCGCTGCACAGCCCAAAAGTAATGGTTTGGTGTGCTGTATCGCAAACTTGCATCATGGGCCCTTACTTCTTCGAAGACAGTAATGGTCGTGATGTTACCGTGAACTCGGAGCGCTACGTCGACATGATCACCAACTTCTTTCTCCCTGAATTACGACGGCGACGTGTGTGGTTCCAGGAGGATGGGGCGACCGCCCACACAGCCCGAGCATCCATGGACGTTATTCGCCCTATCTTCCCTGGTCGCCTTATTTCCAGGTTTGGCGATGTTCATTGGCCTCCTCCGTCCCCAGATTTATCCATATGTGATTTTTTCTTATGGGGACATCTCAAGGCTAGAGTATACGCGAACAAGCCCCGAACTATGGACGAATTGAAGGGCAAAATTCGCGTGGAAGTCGCCCAAGTTAAGAGAGCGATGTTGGAGAGTCTACGCGAACTTCCAAGAACGCCTCCAGCACTGCATCAACGATTTCGGCCACCACATGTCTGATGTGATTTTCCACACTTGTCTCAAATGCTATTTCCTTGTGAACCTGATTCCATCAATAAATTTATTTTCGAGTAAAAATTAACTGTTTTATGATTTTTTTAAAACCGTCCATCCTCTCTGCCGCACCCTGTATTTTTCGATATATTTTATTTCTGGTGACAAAAATAGGGGTTTCATTTAAGAAAACTGTCCTGACCTTCAAGAATATACTCTAAGCCCCGTTCAAGATCACAAATCCATGGATCTTTTCGAACCTTCAAACTTTGCTCTACATGTTTATCTAGGAAACGTATTTATCGAGATATTTTGATCTATCCATACTTTACGAAAACTTTCTTGCAAAATGATGATTCTGAAAAAGTCACACATTGACATGAAACAACCCTTTTCCAAAAAATAAAAAAAATCCTTGTTTACTATTTACTTTATTAACAATGAAAGATAATACACGAATGATTCTTGAATGAAATGAGACTGACGAGTCTTAATGTTCTTTACTACAGGAATTAACACATAGAAGAATATATAATACACATTAAACTTAAAAGTACAGTATTTCAAAAATTTATGTCTACTGAAATTGCCTTTCCCTTGTTAGAAATCTTTTTAGCATGGAAAAGTAGGATTTTGTTACTGTCTCAGATTATACAACTCAGAGAGGTTGTGCTTTTATGTCAACCATATTATTATAAATTTTGTTGAAATAAATGGCTGAATTATATCTTTGTTTCGAAGGTTTAGTCATATTACAATAAGCAAAAGAAATGCAAGATGAATACGTTGATTGAAGAAGGTCTGTGGTCTGCTCCCAATACTTTACTACTGATTTTTATATGATCAAATAAAATGGCTATTTTAGCTCTTTTTCGCAAAAATTTTATCTCTTCACTATATAATCTAAGCTTACAACACAAGTGAATTAAGCTTGCCAAAAAAACAAACAATAAATGTCATACAAAATTTTATATCACACATCTCTTCACACTCATCCCTGGACACAAGAATAAATACCAAAAAACAATTCTCACAGTTCACTTGATCAGAAGCTCTCCTGTCACGATTTCAAAGACCATCTTGTTCCTAAAATAGGGCATGTTCTCTTGACTGAAAGTGATCTTCGCATCTCTTGTCAAATACTCAGCAAAGGTACATGAAAACATCCCGCAGTCTGAACCGTTCATCTGCTGAGGGATGTCCTTGACGTTCTCCAGGGTGAAATCAGAGGTGTCAAATGGGGTTTTCTTTTTGTCCAGGTGCTCTGCTTCGAGGTATTGTTTCAGCGCTCGTAAGCAACGGTCGTTTGAACCGCCCATGCTGTCATAGTATCTGAAAAGGCAAAAATGGTAACATGTAGATTGACTCCGTACTTAAAACACCTCATTAGATTATGCTCAGTTTGTTTCCAAACCTAATGCCATATGAATTATGATTAAAAAAGAATTGATCACAGGTTAGAACAAATTACTAGCAGAATGATGCTAAGAGATAGCCGAGATATACAGGGTGTACCATTTCAATATCCCCGTCAAAGTATTTCTAAAGCTACATACCCTAAAAGTTGTAGGGTTTCGACGAGGCATGAAGATGGTGACCTTGACAGCGACCTTCAAGGTCAAGCGAATATTTTCAGCTCCCCTTTTTTTACTTTATACGCCACTGAGCGAAGAAGCATTATAATCGCGAAATATTTCGAAAATGGGACATTTTTTTTTTGAGGTTATATGAGATGAACATCACGAAAAACCATGTCACTCATTTCCGTCATCGGTCTGTCCGCTAATCTTATGACCGCCTATAACTTGAGAAGTACCGCTCGGATTCGAATGAAATTTTTACACAATGTTACTACTATTCCAAGGACGACAAAGGTTTGTAGTTTTTGAAAATCGGTCCAGTCGCGGCGGAGTAGCAACGCAAAATTAAATAATAAAAGTCCGAAATAACGGGGATATTTGGGTATTAGGAGAACGTACCACTTTAGCGTTCTGCGATGCTTTCATAAATGATGACTTAATTGCCTTTATGCCTACACATATGTACACTTTTATGAATTTTATTATCCTTAAACGTACCCGAGCATTTTGCCTAACCTTTAATTCGTGTTACTCAGTATATGATGGTTCTCTGAATATTTCGTCAAGTACAAAAATGGTAACATGTAGATTGACTCCGTACTTAAAACACCTCATTAGATTATGCTCAGTTTGTTTCCAAACCTAATGCCATATGAATTATGATTAAAAAAGAATTGATCATAGGTTAGAACAAATTACTAGCAGAATGATGCTAAGAGATAGCCGAGATATACAGGGTGTACCATTTCAATATCCCCGTCAAAGTATTTCTAAAGCTACATACCCTAAAAGTTGCAGGGTTTCGACGAGGCATGAAGATGGTGACCTTGACAGCGACCTTCAAGGTCAAGCGAATATTTTCAGCTCCCCTTTTTTTACTTTATACGCCACTGAGCGAAGAAGCATTATAATCGCGAAATATTTCGAAAATGGGACGTTTTTTTTTTGAGGTTATATGAGATGAACATCACGAAAAACCATGTCACTCATTTCCGTCATCGGTCTGTCCGCTAATCTTATGACGGCCTATAACTTGAGAAGTACCGCTCGGATTCGAATGAAATTTTTACACAATGTTACTACTATTCCAAGGACGAAAAAGGTTTGTAGTTTTTGAAAATCGGTCCAGTCGCGGCGGAGTAGCAACGCAAAATTAAATAATAAAAGTCCGAAATAACGGGGATATTTGGGTATTAGGAGAACGTACCACTTTAGCGTTCTGCGATGCTTTCATAAATGATGACTTAATTGCCTTTATGCCTACACATATGTACACTTTTATGAATTTTATTATCCTTAAACGTACCCGAGCATTTTGCCTAACCTTTAATTCGTGTTACTCAGTATATGATGGTTCTCTGAATATTTCGTCAAGTACATTGATATTGACCATTTATTTAACGACGGCAGACCAGCTGGAGTTTGTTACCCACTGCATAGTCGTCAGGGGTCTCCACGACGATGCAGCATCGCGCCGTTCTCGCAACGCTACCGATTGACATTTCGAATGTTGAGTCATTATACATCTGCCCTTTATCATTTATTTTTCCCGTTTTTACAGGGATCAGAAGCATTTTAATGATAGAATGTCATTGAATAATACTAACATATACATTTACAACCCCCAAGGTTCAACCCCTACAAAAAATGTCCCGAAAATGGTATCTGAAACGTCAAAAAGTTTGGGCGATTTTTATTTTTTTCGTGTTTTTACAAAGCTTTTTCATCCTTGGCATAGTAGTAACCTTGTGTGAAAATTTCATCAAAATCCGAGCGAAACTTCTCAAGTTATAGGCGATCATAGAATTATTAGCGGACAAAACTACAGACAGGCGGAAATGCCATACCGCATCTAAAAAACAAAATATCTCAATTTCAAAATTTTTCGCGATTGGGATGTAAAAATAACATTTGCTTGTACCGTATATTCACTGAATGAAAGCAGTTACGTCACAACGTCAAATAATGACAGTGACGCACATGGTTGGCACATAAATTAAAACTACTAGATCCTAGGACGTTTCACAAAATCTACTTTGGCTTTGATGCCTTACCGCTACCAACATTACGGAGCGTATGTTTTGAAAACACTATAGCTAGTATGAATTCTATTTACTACCTATTACCTCTCTAAGACTTAGTTCAGATGACGCGCGTACGGCTGACGCTCGCTTTGAAAATACATAGAATTAATACTAGCTGTTCACATGGACGCGCTGTAAGGTATAAACTTGTAGAAAGCTTATTCCTTAAAATTGGGTGAACCCAGTATGTTCTTTCCCTCTTACGTCGTTTACTTCTTCTATATGCTAACCAAATACAAACAGCTTCTCCCACATCGATTCTCGTTGATTAAACACAATAAACTGACACTCGATCACCTAATCTCATTCTATATAAAAGTTGTACGAAGTCGTACGCCCGCCATCTGAACACCGACACAACAAACGTGCGTAACGTCGACATGTGTCATCTGCCTTACGGACTGTAAAGGCAATAATGGAGCTCCATAATCTCGATCGGTCTCAAAATATTTCGGCAAAGAAATGACGAATTCGTTTGCTTGTCAACCCAGAGGTTTCGGCATTTTAGCAAAATGCTTAAAAGGACACCTCAAAGCTTTAAAAAAAACTGTTTGTATAAAATAACAATGCAAATATTGAGGCAAAAAGAACGGAAACAAACCACATTGATATACAACAGTCACGAAATGACAAACCGACATAAATAAGAAACACGAACTTGCGTGATGCAGATATCTTTAAGCAACAGCAGATACGAGGGATGTCTTTTAAGTTTTGCATATAGGAACATAGTAGACCGCGCGGATCGAACGTTAGTACTGAATCTTAACCCCACTCTTTAGTAAACAAAGTTTCTTAACAATACGTGCAGTGTTCTCACTACAGTGAATTTTTAAGTGTCACCAAGTCATTACAAAAATGGAACTCAACCGAGAACATTTTCGCGCCATCATTTATTACAACTTTCAGAGACAATTATCGCAACAAGAATGCCTTGCTGAGTTACTGTCTGTTTTCGGCAACGAAGCGCCACATCAGTCGACAATTTCCCGTTGGTAACGTTATCCAGAATTTTAAGCCAGACTGACCCTGTGCCAGAGGTTTCGTGGTGGCCACTTACCAGATGTCCTATTTCATGTTTAATCGCAACTATTCCTCTTCATGTTGAAATATAAATACTTTTTTTTTTGAGGTTATATGAGATGAACATCACGAAAAACCATGTCACTCATTTCCGTCATCGGTCTGTCCGCTAATCTTATGACCGCCTATAACTTGAGAAGTACCGCTCGGATTCGAATGAAATTTTTACACAATGTTACTACTATTCCAAGGACGAAAAAGGTTTGTAGTTTTTGAAAATCGGTCCAGTCGCGGCGGAGTAGCAACGCAAAATTAAATAATAAAAGTCCGAAATAACGGGGATATTTGGGTATTAGGAGAACGTACCACTTTAGCGTTCTGCGATGCTTTCATAAATGATGACTTAATTGCCTTTATGCCTACACATATGTACACTTTTATGAATTTTATTATCCTTAAACGTACCCGAGCATTTTGCCTAACCTTTAATTCGTGTTACTCAGTATATGATGGTTCTCTGAATATTTCGTCAAGTACAAAAATGGTAACATGTAGATTGACTCCGTACTTAAAACACCTCATTAGATTATGCTCAGTTTGTTTCCAAACCTAATGCCATATGAATTATGATTAAAAAAGAATTGATCACAGGTTAGAACAAATTACTAGCAGAATGATGCTAAGAGATAGCCGAGATATACAGGGTGTACCATTTCAATATCCCCGTCAAAGTATTTCTAAAGCTACATACCCTAAAAGTTGCAGGGTTTCGACGAGGCATGAAGATGGTGACCTTGACAGCGACCTTCAAGGTCAAGCGAATATTTTCAGCTCCCCTTTTTTTACTTCATACGCCACTGAGCGAAGAAGCATTATAATCGCGAAATATTTCGAAAATGGGATATTACGTTTTTTTTTTTGAGGTTATATGAGATGAACATCACGAAAAACCATGTCACTCATTTCCGTCATCGGTCTGTCCGCTAATCTTATGACCGCCTATAACTTGAGAAGTACCGCTCGGATTTGAATGAAATTTTTACACAATGTTACTACTATTCCAAGGACGACAAAGGTTTGTAGTTTTTGAAAATCGGTCCAGTCGCGGCGGAGTAGCAACGCAAAATTAAATGATAAAAGTCCGAAATAACGGGGATATTTGGGTATTAGGAGAACGTACCACTTTAGCGTTCTGCGATGCTTTCATAAATGATGACTTAATTGCCTTTATGTCTACACATATGTACACTTTTATGAATTTTATTATCCTTAAACGTACCCGAGCATTTAGCCTAACCTTTAATTCGTGTTACTCAGTATATGATGGTTCTCTGAATATTTCGTCAAGTATACTGATATTGACCATTTATTTAACGACGGCAGACCAGCTGGAGTTTGTTACCCACTGCATAGACGTCAGGGGTCTCCACGACGATGCAGCATCGCGCCGTTCTCGCAACGCTACCGATTGACATTTCGAATGTTGAGTCATTATACATCTGCCCTTTATCATTTATTTTTCCTGTTTTTACAGGGATCAGAAGCATTTTAATGATAGAATGTCTTTGAATAATACTAACATATACATTTACAACCCCCAAGGTTCAACCTCTACAAAAAATGTCCCGAAAATGGTATCTGAAAC